TCAAATTAAGTTTGTGAATTAGAAAAGTTAACGAATTTTGTACGCATAGCAATAACTTTATTTACCGCGTTTTTGTTTCGATTTTTTGGGGGGTAGGGATGGAATTCGATGCTAACCATTATTTTGTATTATATGTATTTACATATATGTAGTTGTGGTCTTATTGTACTGACAAATGTTACAAAAAAATCCAAATCTGCGTAATCGTTATATATGTTATCTGAAAATGCGAGAATATTTCTACTAATATTCCTATTATTGATTTTTCCACTCATATCTCAGATACGTAGATCCTGTTTCTTCGATATCATTTCTTGATTCTTTTATTATATATTCTAATTATGTGGTAAGTTATTTTAAGCGAGTTTAAAGAAAGCTCAACCATGTCATGTGCATGTGGTGCTTTTAACTTCAGACAATCAAACAAAACGTCTCTTCGATATGCCGGTTGTTAGCAGAATGTTTGGTAGTGGATTATAGTCATGGTGTGTTCTTTCTAAGGATTTGTTTTTTCGTTTCTTTTCTGTGTGTTTGCCAGAACACATGGGACTATGTGGCGATACCCTGCTTGCTATGCAGAAAGCACCTGGTCCATACATTAGCGAGAGGGAAAGGAAAAGTGTGTGGAAACTTCGAATGAAAGAGAGAAAAAAGAAAGAGGACCAAAACAGAACAAAGTGTTGTTGTCTGAAGGGGAAGCATACAGTTACTTTTTGAGCCCCCACCGACATGGACAGTATAGAAATGTCTGGGTTTCCCACCAGAACCAAGGCGTCTTTTCCCTTATCATCAGTACGACGGCCAAATGTGCGAGGAATAAAGATGTATTTCGATTCTCGTTCTTCTGATAGACTTCCTTGTTTTCAGGCCACACGTGAAAAGAGGTCTTGCATTTAGGAATAAAAATACCCCAGTTACAGCCAAACACTTTTGGTGGACTAATTTTTTCTTTACCGTCCTAGTTATTCACATTAATTACGTTAGTAGTAAACATTGAAAATGAATGTTGAAACAGCGGCCACATTCGATAATATATGTATACCTAAACTGCCATTGCTTTTGTTCATAACTTATTGTATTTTGTCTACATTAGACATTATATGCAATATGTCTTTCTCCCTTTTTCGTGAAGGAAGATTTAAATCCTAGGCGATTGAATCAGAACAATTTTTAGGTAAGGTGCGTACTAAAGATACTTTTAACCACTTTACAAAACGTGAAATGATTTAATAGTTCAGCAGATAGTTTATATATTTATAATTTGTTGAAAAGTCAACAATTTATGCAACATATCCTTCGGTTTGGATCTCCAAAAAATTTTGAATAACCTGTAGGAATTGCAAAATATGGTGTAATCGAACCCCAGGTTTTAGCGTTGTAAATCCCTAAACTTAACGTTGACTCAACGAGAAACGTCAAAAAAAAATAATATATATATATATATATATATACACAAAAAGCATAATTATATATTTTATGATATGGAAATGTTATATAAGATACAGGTAATACATAAGTTGTATTTTTATGACTCAGAAATGCCAGTTGGTTATGTGAACATAATTGATAAGTGGCTGATAATAAATTAATTGCCTCAGGTGCAGCCTACATGTGCACATATACATTCATATGGCCGGATATCTATTAGCATTTAGCTAGCACTTTGTCACAAAACATTTTACCACTGCATCACTGGAGATATCCTCTCGGTTACGAAGACATGACTGTAGTTTTGTGGACAGACAGATATCATTTTGAATTATGAAAATTTTATGGTAGCTTTTTAGGCAGAGAGACATCTTTGAAGGAAGACAGAATAATGATAATTTTTATAAGCAAGAACACACTCCAAGAAGGAAGTCACCTTTATAGACTAAGAGACATCTTCCAAAAAGGTAGGTGCGATGATCATTTCTTAAATAAGCAGAAAGTCATCCTCCAAGAATGAGGTAATGGTAATCACCATCCTAAACTATCATTTAGGATTAAATTATGATGGTTATATCTGTGAGTAGAAAGGTATCCTTTAAGGGATAAAAGTATGAATGATATATATTTAGGCTGAATGACATCTTCCAAGGTGGACGACATGATATTCATCTCATAATCATAGACATAGTGAAATCCTCCACGGATGAAACTACAGTGACCATCAGACTCTTTTTATTTGTAATATCTTTAGGAAAACATTCTTTTCTTCCAGCCACGAACTAACGGTGGCTGTATGTATATTCTAAAAAGGCCCGGTATTGCCAGGTGGTTAGGGCGCTCGACTCGCAATCTGAGGGTCACGGGTTCGAATCCCCGTCCCACCAAACATGCTCGCCCTTTCAGCCGTGGGGCGTTATAATGTGACGGTCAATCCCACTATTCGTTGGTAAAAGAGTAGCCCATAAGTTGGCGGTGGGTGGGATGACTAGCTGTCTTCTCTCTAGTCTTACACTGCTAAATTAGGAACGGCTAGCGCAGATAGCCCTCGTGTAGACTTGCGCGAAATTCAAAACAAACAAACAAATATTCTAAAAACCATCCTTATTGGAATAAAATCATGATTGTCATAATTCTAAACGGTAGAAAACATGATGGTCATATTTCATACGCTCAAAGATACCTTCCAAGGATGAAATCATATTGATCATCAAGAACTTCTCTTTTTAATATTTAAAAAACTTATCTCAGAGTTAAAATCACCATGATAATGTTTCTAGTTCTTAAAAGCAATAACGTCTAGCATGTTTAAAGTAATATTAGTTTCTATGAAGACATGAAAGTGTTCTTCCAAAAACATGAAATTAGTTTGATCTACATCATATCTATACGCAGACACCATTTGTAGAGGTAATATCATAATGCTTATCACCTACAGTGTAAAACTCTATCGAAAATCCTTTTAAGTGGGTACGCTTCACGAGTTTAAATCGAGGCTAATATTTTTTGGATACACAGTTTAAAATGAAGTAATGACAATTACAGTTTTTACAGAACTAGAACCCCTTCCAATAGAAAATTACAATAAAGGATTAGCATGCTCATACAAAATTTTCTAATGGTTAAACTGTATACAATTCATCCATCTAGACGTAAAGAAAAACTCGTAGGAGTGGAGTCATAATAACCATGTGTGATAAAATACTCTAACGTTTTGTGGTAACTCTTGCTAAATAAAATCACAGCCTTACAGGTTTAATTGAATATATTAAATTTCTAATTAGGCCAGTAAGAGGTAAAAATATTCTAATATTATAGACTTGGCGAAACAATGTTTTAGTTTTAAGGTGCTGAATAATAATCTTCACAGAGGAAGGTATCTTTTCTTAACATAAAATCATGACTTTGTCTGTATGGTTTGTGAGATATAAAAAAAAAACACGTTATGATAATCGACAGCTTAAGTAAAGAGTCATACTCTCATGTAAGCAGAGACGATTTTCTTAAAAAAAGTAAAATGTCTTTTCAGGTGTGAAATGATAGAATTTGAAGTGAAGAGACTGTCTTCCCAGAATAACATTTTACCTCGAATGTATTTTCTTACTTATGAACCGTATCTGTAAAAATAACGTATTGAAAATAAATATTATTTACGTGAGTATTCTAATTAAATAACATGTTATATATCATTTCTTTGATTATATATATAGTATTTAAGTAATTTTTCCATTAAAATCAACCTTACAGAAAATGTGACTTGTAGTTTATATATTCATTTACGTTTATTTCACATTCAGCTATTACGCAATCGTGCTTCTAAGCTTGGCATGACTTGTGGTTAGGGCCCTTGACTCGCGAACTGAAGATCGTGGATTCGAATCCTACCTTCAAACATACTCGCTCTTTTAGCCGTTTGGGGCGTAATAATGAGACGGTTCACCCCACTATTCGTTGGTAAAGCGTTGTCCAAGACTTGGCGCTGGCTAGTATTGATTAGTGTGTGCGTGTTTTCTTATAGCAAAGCCACATCGGGCTATCTGCCGTGTCCACCGAGGGGAATCGAACCCATGATTTTAGCATTGTAAATCCGAAGACTTACCGCTGTCCCACCGGGGTACAGTGTTGACTAGCTGCCTTCCTTCTGTCTATCGCTTCTAAATTAGAGACAGCTAGCACAGATAACCCTCGAAGAGGTTTGCGCGAAATTCAAAACAAACAAACAAAGCATAATTTTAATATTAATTAAGAAAATTTATTTTGTGTTGTTTATCGTAATGTATTATGAAAAAGAAAAGGAGACTTCAGATTCAAATTACATTTTCATATACTGAGAAAATTCAACATTATTCAAAAAACTACCCTATTTGCTTGCTTTGTTCGTATGTGCTATGGCCAGGTTGTTGTTTTTTTTAACTAATCAGTGCCTTGTTTCGAAATATTCCAAAACGTGTCACTACGTATATACATAGAACATTTCTTGAAATTACTGTTCTTAATGCTTAAAATTAATATTCGTAAAATAATCTGTTCAAAAACCTAATTGTATAATTTAAAAGATTTTATATTGGAACGTAAAATATTCAGTTGCAATGGATGCAAACAGATAAAATGTTTTTCAAAAGGCAAAAAAAGATGATATTAGTTACTCTTGCGTTATTGGCTTATAATAAAAATACTAAATGGGGAAACCTCTAAGCACTGTCTTCAAAATACTTAATCCTTCATTAAAATTAAGTAGTATAAAGCCTCATCATTACTGCTAAAGTTATAATTTTAGCGAACATACTTTCCCCTTTTACAACTCTAAACTTGTAGAAATACATCTATGGAGAGCCTCTGTTTGTTTGTAGCTAAGCACAAAGCTATACAATTGGCTATCTGTGCTGTGCCCACCAAGGTTATCGAAACACAGTTTCTAGCATTGAGTCCGCAGACTTAGCGGAGGGTCTCTGAGGCTTCTTATCATTAAAAATTAAAGCTTCCCAATAATACGAGTTACTTCTATTTTATTTTTGTCAGTAACATAAGAAGGGTTTTTCTTTAATATAGAATAATATTTTTTTATGTCACAGGTACTATGAAACGGGTTCCATAAAACCCGGAGTCATCGGCGGCAGTAAGCCTAAAGTGGCGACAGCCAAAGTGGTTAACACGATAGCTACCTACAAGAAACAAAATCCAACTATGTTTGCGTGGGAGATCCGAGACCGCCTATTAATGGATGGTGTGTGTAGCCAGGATAACATCCCCAGTGTTAGTTCTATCAATAGGTAAGGAGCTTGTATCATTCATCTCTACGTAGTTTATCAGATCATATCTTACATCTAAATAGTTTTGTGGTAATATAGCTCCTAATGCGAGATGAGTATCTATAACGGACTTCGCGAATTCTTCTACTTTGTTTTCAATGATAGACAAGACACCCGGATGACATACTGCTTGTAGATATAAAGATTTGGATAAGATTAAGTGATTTAGCAGCTATAACGTTGCAGTGTTAAGCTGCTCTGCCAAGAGGAACAAACCCGCAGCTAATAATAATACTTATCGCTGGTTGAAAGATTGGCAACGTCATGGCTACGAGATTCTTTGTCTTTTACTGTGATCAATTAACTCCTACCATAAGAAATACCGAGAACCAAAAGCTCATTATGGGCTTCTTAATAAGAACATTTTGCTGAAAAGCCACTTCTTTGCTGTTACTATCCAACTAACAAAGCAACATATTTCACGAACTTAGGGGCTTACACACTGAAAATAGCACCTCCCGAATCACCGGAAATGAAGACAGATATTCAAGCTTTCTTAGGATGCTAAGAGATGACTTTCGTCGTATTCTAGGGTCTTATGAAAAAAATGCAAAGCAGTTACAAACAACCGATTGAAGACAAATCGAGTCTACTGTAACTGTTTTGCTGATATGAAACCACTAAAATTACTGGTTATCACTGATTAGTAATTACTTTTATGTTTATTTTCAAATTATCCTTTCTTGGAGTATTTTAACTTAGTTTAAACGTCTGGTATTCGTTCAGCTATAAGAACCACTGATACGAGTGTTCGGAGAGCGACACCTTGTATAAACTTATTGTTTGATATCATGTTTCTGGCTAACTAATTCTTAGACAAATTATTTAAAAGAAAGTTAAAAGTGATGTTTGTCTTTTTAAAATACCTTACTTTAAAGTATAGAAATTATTTGTATCACTAGGACACTGAGTAAATATGTCACAATGATGGTAGCGATGTTAGTTTGAATATTATTACCCAATGAAACTATTTTAGAGCTTTCGAATTTGAGCATCTGATTTTCAAACTTATTCTTTGCTGTTACTGTCCAATGCCCAAAATCTGAAGTCTCTAAACACAATATTTCACGAACTTAAAAGCAGCTTTAACACTGAATATAACCACCAGATGTGAAGACAAATAATTCAAGCTTTCTTAAGATGCTTCTTATTCGAGGATCTTATGAAAAAAAACAAAAACAAAGCAATTACAAACAACCGAAGAAGTAAAATCAAGTCTGCTGCAGTTGTGTTGATGTAGAAAATAATAATTGACTATATATATCACGACGGATCTGACTGTATCCTCTCGTAGTCGGATTTTATCACTTATCTGTGCACATCTTAGAAGTTATGTGACACCATCAGTAAATTAGCTTGAATGCCAATAAGGTTTGGTAAGAAACAACAAAAAACAGTGAGGCATACTTGTTTTTCGTTTATTGCCATTAATAATTCATATTATTAAAGTGGTTTTATATTATGACAAAAAGTTAAATAAAGAACCATTTAACACAAATATACTGTATAGACGAACACACATATGCGCGTTGTTTTAAAACTGGTGAGAGGGGATGAGAAGTGTAGGCTTTTAGTTACTTCAGCCAATGATCTGTACTTTTTATTAATAATTTACACAACCTTACCACACCTTTGAGACTGGAATCCCCACGAGACGCTCTTAAAGAGAGAGAGAGAGAAATATTATATTTTATCAGCGGGAATTACTGATAAGGAGGGCCCTCTGACATCTTCCCGGAACAATAGCGAGAAAAGTATCGAGGAATCTACCGTGTTGTTACACATCAGTTTCTAGTCGTAAATAGTTTAAGATGATTACAAGTGATTAGGCCTTTCATCTAGGTCTGTGGTAACTAGGTTTTGCCAATTATTTACAGATTGCATTGAACAGAAGGGGGAGATCGGGATGAGTGTGTATGTACGCACGCGGGAGATATCACTGATTTTGTGAATTATTATTTAGCTTATGGGCTTTGAGAGTATTGTGCGTTGATGAGTACTCTCCAATGTGTTACGGGTCTGAAATAGGCTTCAGCTGAGAAATCTATTGTCATGTTTTGACTAATAAGTTGAACCTGCCATGAGAAAAGCCTAGAAACTTATGATAGACCCAAGTTTTAAACACCTATTCTGCTCTAATAATCTGTAAGTTACATTCAGAATAGTTAATTACACAGGCCTACGAATTTAAACTTCACAAAAGTTGATTTGGTTTTAATAACGGATTTTCCATAATTCAGCTACGCAGATTTCGAAAATAACATTAATTTTTTTTTCTGTCACGTAAGGGTTTCTTACAAATAGGGAAGCAAAAAAACCCTCTTACTTATATCAAATTACTATTTCGTTTACCATAATGAAAATATTTTATTATTATGTTTGTTAACAATAATACATACATACATACTGAAGAAAAGGGAAGAACATTGATGTCAAACGAATATGCATCCTCATTCATCCTGATATTATTTTTTATTTTTGTTTTGTGAAATCTGCGTCTTTTAGTCTCAAAATTACGTGTTGTGGTTTTTCTTTTATGTATTGCGTTATGACATTTTGTGAAAAATCTATACGTGATGGACAAAAATGGATATCATTTTCGAATTGAACATACAGGTATTATTGTAGAGCATGTAAAAATTTCAGGACAATAAAACCATTTTAGGACTGTGTCATTATCAAAAATGTATTTATGGTAAACATGGGAACGTTCTCAATTACCACATCAATAAACGTAGCTCCAGGAAATGTTTAACTCATATTTAATTTATTTATATATGGACCTCAGCCAGTTTTCTGTTTTAGCATTTTCATAACATCAGAAATATTAGTACACCATTTTTAATATCGGACAATATAATGGCTATAATATGATATCCATAATCTAACCTTTTCACCCGTAATTTTCTTTTCACGAGAAGGTACGATCAGTCTTGTGAGAAATGTTTAGCTTGTTTTTGTTGCTGTATAATTATTGTCATATTAGTTTTTTGAAACCAAATAAGGAAGAACGGACACGTCATTTCGTCCTACGATGTAGCGATATTCAACATGGTAGGTTTTGATCCTTTAGATGTGCTTATTTATGTTATTATGAACCTGAGGTTTATAGTTATCATGAAGATAAGTATTGTTTGTTTGTTTAAGAATGCTTGTGCAAACCTACACGATGGCTATTTGGAACTGATAGCCTAGGCCCCAGATGGTTTTGTTTGTTTGTTAAATTTCGCGCAAATTCACAAGAGAGTTAGCTATCTACGCCAACTGTCTCTAATTTTGAAGCGATAGACTAGAGGGAAGGCAGCAAATCAACACCACCTACCGCTAATTCCTAAGCTACTCTTGTCAGGTCGAATATTGGGATTTAACGGCCTATATTACAACACATTCACGGCCCAGGATTTCGGAACGCGTTTTTGCGGCAACAGAACGAGAACCATGAAACCTCGGATTCACTGCCTAGGGAGGTTAACCTATTGATCACGCTCAGCCGGAAGGTAATCTAGTCATTAAAATATATTCGCTATACAATGTTTTATATAAACCATAGAAACACGCCGCCAACACAACAAAAAACAAGGCTGAACTTCGATCACATGCATAGAGTAATACACTTAATATTATTAACTTGCATAGAAGTATTAATCTTGTTCGTATGTATTAGTCTATCCAGTGGTGATTGTTTTAAAATTTTGTATGTTTTGTTTTAGAGCAATGCCCCATTTGGTTATCTGCTGTGTCCACCGCGCGGAATCGAATCCCCAATGATAGCCTTGAAAGCCCATAAACTTACCACTGTCTCAGAGGGGTGCTTAAAGTTTTGACAGTGGGATCTACCACTAGTTATTAACATTTAAGGAATCTAGCTTAGTATTCTTTATATATTCCTAATTCTGTCAAACGTGTAATTTCTATAACGCTAAATGAGAAATAACAGCAAGGGAATAATTCCCGCATTACTTACGTATTTCAACACCTGCGTTATTAAGATGGAAATATCCTTTGTACTTAATGACATTGGAAGACAAGGGCAAATCGATCAACTTGGAGCACCAGGACCATCCAGAAAGAGCCCGCAATAAACCATACCCTTGCCATGGTAACCGAAGTGCGGCGTTTTGTAACAGACAAGAATCCACGAACAAAAAAGGTCAAAGGCAAAAACCGTCCATGCGCCCCAGGCAACAATACGCAGCATAATAGTGAAGGTTCTCAGTCTGGAAACGAAGTCAACAAGGTATAAGTTAACCAAGATAAGATTTCCAGTCGTATCCCCCCGTTCAACTGTTTCATACGTCAAGCAGCTAGAATATGAAAGGAATGTTCATACTACTTAATAGGAAGACATACCAGTCAAGTCGCAGAGCGCACGCAGTCTTTACATTTCTGTGCTATTAGACTGTTAAAACGGGAGCTAGAAAACAGTCGTGCTAGTGCACTAGATAGTTATGGAAAGCAAGAAGAGAAGAAAGTTGTGCTTTGGACATGACAACCTCGCGATGGATCTTTTTGCAACGGAAACTACGCTGCAGATGCAAGGTCATCACATGAATCATGACAAGACGTTGCACAATTAACTGTAACGACGTGGTTAGGCTTCAACTTCATCTTAATATAACATGCTCAACTTCTGTTTACGTCATGAACATTAAAACTCTTTACCGTTAGTTTTGGGCTAGCAGAATAGCTTGAAAATTTATATCTTAGAGTATGGTTTAATGAAGTCTTATGACAATATTAAAAATAAGACAACATACGACTGTTGTGTTATCAAATTATACACTCAACATAGTGTGATTTTAAATTTATCCTTTTACCCAATTCAATGAAACTACGGCTCAAGTATGTCCGATGTGTGGTCAGTAAAAGAATATTTATGCTTAGTCAGGCTCCAGATATACCAGTATGGGAAATGCGCTAATATGTATAGGAAAAGAGCTATAGACGTATTTGGACCACATGGCTTTTGCATGTACTTTTTCTGTTGTATTTTGCTTTATGTGATATTAACTGAAGTCAATCAAACATGTAGCTACGCTTTAAAAAAATCGTAGGATTCTGTAGTTCTTCTTCTGGTTGCTTGATAATAATCGGGCCATCTGTCAGCCTGTTATATATGTACATGCCCTAACCTGGGTTTAGGCTAGGTGGTGTGGCTACTATATCAATAAAGTGGCCAACTGTGTGGTTCTGCCGAAAACGCTTCTGCTCCTACATCTCTATTTTAGTGCTCATCAACGTACTCGACACAAGCGCTGACTTGATTTGATTTTGTTTAGTGCAGCGCCAGCCTGATTGTAGGCAACCATCCAGAAGTAACATTTTTTGAATAACTACCTATCAAACGCTCAGTTAATGTACCATTAAATCTTTTGTCATCAAACAAAAGAAAAATTTCACTGGTTAAAACTTTACGAGTTAATGAAAATGCAATGTTCGCATGCAACGACATACTATACAGTATTGAATAGTGTACAATTGCTCTGTTGTTTCACTCGACCCACGTAGTTACCACTATCAGTCAACAATCAACTTATAACAGCTTAACATGAATCATAATCTTGATATCTTTGTTTTATCATTACCCCTTGAAGTTAGCTTTCTTACGAATATCTGGAATTCCTTTAAAAAGCGTAAGTACAGAGTGAAACAGAAATTACCAGTCAGTAATAAATGAACATTAGATGACTGTAACATGTAAATACTCAATGCTTTGTACACAATTCCATAATATTTATGTTTTCTACCCATTGTATTTTCTGTTTCCATAATTATTTCCAATACTGTATATCTTCAAGATCGAATATAATTTGTCCTTGTATAGTACTGGACATGATTTATAGTGTCTTGAAACACCTGTTAACCACCGCAGCATTTTCCAAACTCTTGTCATTGACGTCCTCATCCCTCAGTGGTACAGCGGTAAGTTTACAGACTTATGACGCTAAAATCCGGGGTTCTATTCCCTGCGGTGGATACAGCAGATAGCCTAACGTGGCGTTTCTCTAAAACAAACAACTATCCACTCCTTCTTGAGCGCCCCCTTTTTTTAATGAGTGAAAGAGCGAGTTAAGTGACGAGATATAACACACGGATACACAGTAAAATGCTATATATGTGTTGTAGTAATTTATTATTATTTTCATTAATAAAAATATATTAAAACGCATAATTCTGAATTATTGCACTATGGACTCTACCCTAATCGCTCCCTCCCCCAATAGATCATTTGCAAAGGGGGAGCCCACATTTAGGGAAACACTATTGCATCAGATCGGGTACCTACTAAACAGAAACATTCACTGTACCTTACACTTTTAACAGACCGGATATTCTTTGTCAAGTGATATGATTTAGTACCAAAGATGTCTGTTTGTTTTTCTATACAACTTGCTATTTTATTATTTTCATGACGCTTAACGCAACTCAGCATGTCTAAAGAATTTTACATGTACATTTCGAAGTTGCAAATATAGCCCAAAGTTATGATTTCTGAGTTAATTTTTTTTGCAAGAGAACACAATATTTAACATTACAGTTTCGCGAGTAACATAACGTGTTTCCCTTTTGTTTTGTGAATATATTCAAGCGGCTCTGCTGTTTAAACGTGGTTATGTTTACTCTAACAATGTAGAAATCCTTTATGTTTTTTGTACGTGTAGAGTATAATATGCTGTAGAAAATCTGTATTGGATATGTGTGTGTGTGCTTTCACGCACTATAGGCTAACACTATTTGTAGGCTATTTCCGAAATTAAAGAGGATGGCCCCATCAGTGACTTATTTGTTCGTTATAGTTTTATAACAAAGCGTTTATGAACTTTTATTAAAGCATTATTTTAACTAACCGCACGTCATCTGTAAGCGCATGCAGAACAGGACACGCATGCCTAATGATACATAGATGTTTAGAATGTCAAGTAGACTTATACATCTTTGTGAAGTTGTCTATTCATCTTTACATTACTGTTCATTCTCGACTGTTTAGCTGCTTCAAATACAGAATTAGTACATGAGGTAATAAAACAGTGTACAAAAATCAGTTGTCTTATGAATAATATATATTATAGACATAAGATTCGTTTTTTTTTTAAATGCTCTGCATGCTTAACTTTAGGTGTTTCTTTATTTTGTTTATTTGTCACTCTAATGCACTAGTAATATCTATTATATTTAAGAATGTGCAAAATGTGCTTCTTAGATTCATTACAAATTGTTGCACAAATGTATTTGCTTATATATAATCCTTCTTTCATTTGCAGGATTGTAAGAAACAAGGCAGCAGAAAAGACGAAGCAAATTATGAATGACGGAAGCCCACAACACGAGGCGCCTACTAATACTACGTCTGTCATCACGCATGCGCCACCAACTATTCAAGACACTGCCCAACATTTCTTACGGCCATCTTACTCCATTAGCGGTATACTAGGAATTTCGAATGCTGATACAAACACTAATCGGAATAAGAGAAAAAGAGATGATAGAACTGGAGGTTTGTCGTTCTTATATTTTAATATTATATTTTAATGAAATTCGTTATACACTTGAAATTTGCTCAATCACATTTTAGTGATACAATACAATTTTCATTAGAAAGTGCACAGCAAACTGATGTGATCAATAGACACTCGCATTTACGCAGGTTGAGCACTTTTGTGATCAATTATGAACGCAACATCCACAACAAAGAGAGTCTGTTGTAAAGTCTATCGCATTTCAAACAAAGGTGTAAATATATATATATATATATGGAAAGAACTTCATATTTGCAGTTATTACTAATAATCAGGTTATTAGGCATGCATATTAGATGATTTAACAACATAGAACATTTGATTTTTAACCAACATTTATGAGTGCCGGATGTGATTTTTAATGCTCAATGAGTGGTTATAAGATCAGAAGTACTGGTCAGGGGTATGAAATACAATAACTCTAGTACAGTCTTGTCCAAAATGTTTGCATGTTTTGTAACAAATGAGATCGTTATTATTGATATATAATACAAATACACTTAGCGCTGTTAAACTGAGAAATGCATATTGTATTAAACATCTAGATATGTAATTTGTTTAATGAGACAATTTCTATAGACATCATAAAAGATTTATTAGAACAGCAAACAATTTTATCAGATCAGTAATTCAACATTCCACCTATCATAACAAAACCATACCAAAACATATATAATGGCAAAATATATCATCATATTATTATAAATAGCGTCTATAACTTTATATCAATTCATATTAAAGATTCAATACTTGGTTGGTTCTGCTTGTACTCTAATAACCTCCCCAAGACAACGTGGCATGCTGTCGATAAGGTTATTGATGTAATTTACCGTGATTACATCTCAACTTATCACTAGATGGCGTTGCAACTTAACTACAGTAACTGGTTTAGGGTCGTGGTTAGCAATTTTCCGGGCTCAGTACTGCCCAAAAGTTCTCAATGTGATTACAATCTAGAGACTTTGCTGGCCATGACAATATTGTAACGTCCTCCTGGTCGAGATAATCTTGTACATTACGCGCATCGTGGTTCTTAGAATACAAAGTTATGGACAAATTTTGCCCTAGCGTATGGCAGAAATGTTGTCTCCATATGATGCCTTTAGGAGGCGCCATTGATTTTTCTCTGGAGTATATGAAGTGCAGTTTTTCCATCATGATGAACAGCTGCCCACTGATGTACTGCACCACATCCTGTGTGTTCCCTGTGGGAAAGAAAGTCTTCTCTCATCTGTTCTTCAAGCAGACACGAACACGAATCCTATCATCAGTTTTAACAAGCCGGAAACAGGACTAATCTGAAAATATGACATGTCGCCAGTGTCTTAACTGTAAGTTGGCATGCTGTCTTGCTCAAGTAACATGGTGACGGCGGTGAATTCTGGTTAATATCGGTTTACAGATAGCTCTTCTTGCAAAATAACCTTGTTTGGTCAATCTCCTATGTACTTTTCTTCTGGATATCCTGGAATGAATGTGTTCATACCATTTCTGTCGCAAGGTGTAAACCTGATTAAAACACAGTAATCTATGGCAGAGTTTTTCGGCGTCTACTAGCATACTTTCCTGTAACAACGTTTCCTATAGTCCAGTGACGTTTTTGGATTCTGGATACAGTAGACTGTGGGTACCTTATTGTTCAGGCAATGTGCGTTTGCTTCATACCATTTCTGGATAATCGAACAATTTGACGCACCATAACTTTTAGCATGTAACGAAGCATCATTCTACACCAAGTACAGAGAAATTGTCTGAACAAAGCGTTGATCTGTTTCGAAAAAGATTATACTAAAAGCACACCCTTTTATACAAAATAGGTGTGTATGTGTGTTTTGGTGAACAAATGCTCGAAACAACTTATACAGACTAGAATAACACCTCGTACGTGTTTGTCCGATCATACATTACCTTCTCTGTTACAACTACTAATACTAGGGCATTTACACAAGAAGTACTCCATGCATGTAGACAATAACACCAATATAGGGCAGGCTGTATATCGTGGTGTTATATATATATATTAACAGTTTATTTCCCAACCTTGTAACGCTATCTCTATTCGTGTTGTTAAGTTTTGTTTTGTTTTAAACAAGGCAATAACATAAGCATTCTTATATTTCGGTGTAAAAATAGTCAAAGACTTATTGCATAAAAACATTGTGTGCGCGTGTCTGATAAATTGACAATCAAACATTTCTTTAAAACATCTTCATATTTGTTTTAGTGAAAATAATACGAATTATGAAAAATAAAAATGACTTTAAAATGGAATCTGACTTGTATAAACTATCTTCCTAACATTTTAAATTGTACTTTATTTATTTCAATTTTAGAAACGCAAACGCTCGATTAGAAGATTTTGTGTCACTAATGACGCTAAAATTAAAGCGACGTCTCTGAAAGCTCTTTTATTCGCTTTATTATACGTAAATGCTATAATTCTGTGTAGACGTGTTTAAAACCAGTCTCTAGCGATGAGGCTTGTTTGAAGTTAAGCACACAGCTACATAATGGGCTATCTGTGTTCTGTCCACCACGGGTATCGAAACCCGGATTCTAGCGTTGTAAGTCCGCAGACATACCGCTGTGCCACTGGGGCGCTAGCAATAAGGACTAGTTATTGATAGATATAAGCATAAGGCGCTTAAGTTGTATACTAGTTGTAATGATATCTTTGGCCACAATATCTCGAAAAGAAAAGCATTTTTTCCAATAAACCATCGTGCAATGATAAAGTTTAAATCATCCTTCCTAATAAAAAAAATTGACACATTTATATAATGATATACATTTTTCAAAACGTTGAAAATTAAATATTGATACATATGTATACATAATAATAATACAATAAATTATTTACCGATTAGGACAATCTGTAAAATGTGTTATCACATATATATATGTATGAGTATATAAATTATGCAAAAAATATTTTTGATAAAACCAGTCTTTTGTTTTCAATGACGTATGAATCATATAATTCTAAGAATAACTTAGTTTGGTTCATTCTCTTCTGATAAACTATATATATGTGTTGATAGCCAGATATAAAAGTTATACGATAATACGTATGCTGAGGAAGTAAGTGATCAGTCTTCAAGTTGATAATGAGCTTTATAAGTGATAATATTGAGGACAAAAACTGAATGTGAAACACAACCCTTTTATAATATAGCTAGGATAAAGGCTTGGTGGTTAGGGCGCTGACTTGCAATCTGTGGGTCGCGGAATCATGCCCGCCTCTACGACTGAAAGAGTGATGGTCGATCCCACTTTTCGTTGGTAAAGAGTAGCCCAAGAGTTAGTAGTGGGTAGTGTTGACTAATTGCCTTCTCCCAAGTCTATCCCTTCAAAATTAGGGACGGTTACCGCAGATATAGTCTTCGAGATAAAGAAACAGGCATGTTATAGACATATCTATATATAATATAGGCCATTTTTAGTGTATCCTTTCAAGTGTGTGAGAATTTATCAGAATTTCAAACCGAAAATTAGTTTTTTGGTTAGTATTTCACATTGAAGCTTCATCATGCAGCATCAGCTTCTTGAAGTATAATATATGAACCATTTCACAATTTTTTGTTGAATACTTCCAATCGTCTCCTCTACGTAAGCTAATTTTTTTATCATGCATTTCCACGTTATACATTTTTTCTCCTTGTAAATCCTTTCCCAATAGTTTAAAAGGTTTGGCGTCGTCTAATGGTTAGGGTGTTGGAATGAGGATCAGAAGGTCCAAGGTCCTCGGAACCCTCTCTATGCTGTAGGAGCGTTATAAGAATAACGATCAATTCCGATACTTGGTTCAAACCTCGTGTGCCGCCAGTTTCTGTCCGTTAGCTGTAATACGCATTTGTGTGATGAAAACAAAATGATTATCCAAATTATACCCATTTAGTCGGATCTTTCTAGTAAATTAGGAAATATTACTGCTCTAGTCGATAGATTACTTCATTTCCATCGTGTTATCTTTAAACTTAGGTAGAGCAGAATAGAATTTGGTACACAGTAGTGTCAGATGGTATCCATTGAGTATAGTTTGAACGAGGAATAAAATTTAGTAGCTCACCACACAATTTCCTCGTGGCGATAGGTGCCATTCACTGCCTGGCTACCTTCTCTAGAGTGAGGAGTTCCTTAGGAAGAGCAGGGATAAAATTTGGTACACAGTAGTGTCAGATGGTATCCATTGAGTATAGTTTGAACGAGGAATAAAATTTAGTAGCTCACCACACAATTTCCTCGTGGCGATAGGTGCCATTCACTGCCTGGCTACCTTCTCTAGAGTGAAGAGTTCAAAATTAGGGACGGCAATACCCGAACTTTAGGATTTACTGATCTGACCTTTTAGCCCTTGTGTTTCATAAGATATCAAATAATTTAAGACGAGTTTTGTTTATTTTAAAGATTTAAACATATGATTAATTGTCAAGTATTTTCAAGGTTGTCGACTCATGTTTTTTTTTATTTATAAAATTGAACTTTGATCTATTAGATGATCAATGTTTATTAGATCAATTTTTTTGAAGAGTTGACTTTTCATTTGGTTCACGTCAATTTAATTTACGCGTCGAGTCAGGAAACTAAAGAGGCTATCCAAATTACTTTCATTAACATAATTACTTGAAAATTACATTGATTAAGCTTACATCATTATAAATCAAGTCACGAGTATATATATATATATATATATATATATAT